AAAAGAGGAGGCAGTTAGGGTAAGATATAAACAGCTATTGGAGGATAGATGGGCTAATGAGAGCATAGGCAATGGGGTCGAAGAGGTATGGGGTAGGATTAAAAATGTAGTGTTAGAGTGTTCAGCAGAAGTTTGTGGTTACAGGAAAGTGGGTGCAGGAGGGAAGAGGAGCGATTGGTGGAATGATGATGTAAAGAGAGTAGTAAGGGAGAAAAAGTTAGCATATGAGAAGTTTTTACAAAGTAGAAGTGATGCAAGGAGGGAAGAGTATATGGAGAAAAAGAGAGAGGTTAAGAGAGTGGTGAAGAATGTAAAAAGAGAGCAAATAAGAGAGTGGGTGAGATGTTATCAACAAATTTTGTTGAAAATAAGAAAAAGTTTTGGAGTGAGATTAACAAGTTAAGAAAGCCTAGAGAACAAATGGATTTGTCAGTTAAAAATAGGAGAGGAGAGTTATTAAATGGAGAGTTAGAGGTATTGGGAAGATGGAGGGAATATTTTGAGGAATTGTTAAATCTTGATGAAGATAGGGAAGCTGTAATTTCGTGTATAGGGCAAGGAGGAATAACATCTTGTAGGAGTGAGGAAGAGCCAGTTGTGAGTGTGGGGGAAGTTCGTGAGGCAGTAGGTAAAATGAAAGGGGGTAAGGCAGCCGGGATTGATGGGATAAAGATAGAAATGTTAAAAGCAGGTGGGGATATAGTTTTGGAGTGGTTGGTGCAATTATTTAATAAATGTATGGAAGAGGGTAAGGTACCTAGGGATTGGCAGAGAGCATGCATAGTTCCTTTGTATAAAGGCAAAGGGGATAAAAGAGAGTGCAAAAATTATAGGGGGATAAGTCTGTTGAGTGTACCTGGTAAAGTGTATGGCAGAGTTATAATTGAAAGAATTAAGAGTAAGACGGAGAATAGGATAGCAGATGAACAAGGAGGCTTTAGGAAAGGTAGGGGGTGTGTGGACCAGGTGTTTACAGTGAAACATATAAGTGAACAGTATTTAGATAAGGCTAAAGAGGTCTTTGTGGCATTTATGGATTTGGAAAGAGCGTATGACAGGGTGGATAGGGGGGCAATGTGGCAGATGTTGCAAGTGTATGGTGTAGGAGGTAGGTTACTGAAAGCAGTGAAGAGTTTTTACGAGGATAGTGAGGCTCAAGTTAGAGTATGTAGGAAAGAGGAAATTTTTTCCCAGTAAAAGTAGGCCTTAGACAAGGATGTGTGATGTCACCGTGGTTGTTTAATATATTTATAGATGGGGTTGTAAGAGAAGTAAATGCGAGGGTCTTGGCAAGAGGCGTGGAGTTAAAAGATAAAGAATCACACACAAAGTGGGAGTTGTCACAGCTGCTCTTTGCTGATGACACTGTGCTCTTGGGAGATTCTGAAGAGAAGTTGCAGAGATTGGTGGATGAATTTGGTAGGGTGTGCAAAAGAAGAAAATTAAAGGTGAATACAGGAAAGAGTAAGGTTATGAGGATAACAAAAAGATTAGGTGATGAAAGATTGAATATCAGATTGGAGGGAGAGAGTATGGAGGAGGTGAACGTATTCAGATATTTGGGAGTGGACGTGTCAGCGGATGGGTCTATGAAAGATGAGGTGAATCATAGAATTGATGAGGGAAAAAGAGTGAGTGGTGCACTTAGGAGTCTGTGGAGACAAAGAACTTTGTCCTTGGAGGCAAAGAGGGGAATGTATGAGAGTATAGTTTTACCAACTCTCTTATATGGGTGTGAAGCGTGGGTGATGAATGTTGCAGCGAGAGAAGGCTGGAGGCAGTGGAGATGTCATGTCTGAGGGCAATGTGTGGTGTGAATATAATGCAGAGAATTCGTAGTTTGGAAGTTAGGAGGAGGTGCGGGATTACCAAAACTGTTGTCCCAGAGGGCTGAGGAAGGGTTGTTGAGGTGGTTCGGACATGTAGAGAGAATGGAGCGAAACAGAATGACTTCAAGAGTGTATCAGTCTGTAGTGGAAGGAAGGCGGGGTAGGGGTCGGCCTAGGAAAGGTTGGAGGAGGGGGTAAAGGAGGTTTTGTGTGCGAGGGGCTTGGACTTCCAGCAGGCATGCATGAGCGTGTTTGATAGGAGTGAATGGAGACAAATGGTTTTTAATACTTGACGTGCTGTTGGAGTGTGAGCAAAGTAACATTTATGAAGGGATTCAGGGAAACCGGCAGGCGGACTTGAGTCCTGGAGTTGGGAAGTACAGTGCCTGCACTCTGAAGGAGGGGTGTTAATGTTGCAGTTTAAAAACTGTAGTGTAAAGCACCCTTCTGGCAAGACAGTGATGGAGTGAATGATGGTGAAAGTTTTTCTTTTTCGGGCCACCCTGCCTTGGTGGGAATCGGCCAGTGTGATAATAAAAACTAAAAATAAAAATAAAAATAAATATATATATATATATTATAATATATATATATATATATATATATATATATATATATTATATATATATATATATATATTATTTATATATATATATATACAGTGGACCCCCGGTTAACGATATTTTTTCACTCAATAAGTATGTTCAGGTGCCAGTACTGACCGAATTTATTCCCATAAGGAATATTGTGAAGTAGATTAGTCCATTTCAGACCCCCAAACATACACGTACAAACGCACTTACATAAATACACTTACATAATTGGTCGCATTTGGAGGTAATCGTTATGCGGGGGTCCACTGTATATATATATATATATATATATATATATATATATATATATATATATATATATATATATATTATATATATATATATATATATATATATATATATATATATATATATATATATATATATATATATATATATATATATATATATATATATATATATTATATATATATATATATATATATTTCAACAAGTCGGCCGTCTCCCACCGAGGCAGGGTGACCCAAAAAAGAAATAAAATCCCCAAAAAGAAAATACTTTCATCATCATTCAACACTTTCACCACACTCACACATTATCACTGCTTTTGCAGAGGTGCTCAGAATACAACAGCTTAGAAGCATATAGTACATATAAAGATACACAACATATATACAGTATATATATATATATATATATATATATATATATATATATATATATATATATATATACAGTGGACCCCCGGTTAACGAACTTTTTTCATTCCAGTAGTATGTTCAGGTGCCAGTACTGACCGAATTTTTTCCCATAAGGAATATTGTGAAGTAGATTAGTCCATTTCAGACCCCCAAACATACACGTACAAACGCACTTACATAAATACACTTACATAATTGGTCGCATTTGGAGGTGATCGTTAAGCGGGGGTCCACTGTATATGTATATATTGTCTCTACATCCACAGCAGGATTTGAACTTGCAAACCCTGTATCAGAGTACACAGTACTTTACCATGGGCCAGGCCCCAGAAAAGTATGGGCGCATAGCCGCAGCTAGACAATGTTTCCCCATACCCCAGGGTACCAGGCTTGTTTTCAAAGTTATATCATCAAATCCTGCCACATGCAGTTTTCTGGGGTCTGGCTCCCTGGTAAACTAATTGTGTACTCTGATAAAGAGTTTGCAGGTTCGAGTCCTGCTATGGACATAAAGACAATGTTTGTAAATAATTTCACCTCTGCAAACTGTTAAGCATATATGTATATACAAAGCTTTACATTTTTTTTTATTATTGTAATTATGGAATAGCTGGCAGCAGTGGTGGTTTTAGTATTACTGGCAGTATTAGCAGTATAATAGTACAGTGGAACCTCTGGTCACGAACACTTCCGAACACGAACAAATTGGTTCACAACTGAAAAATTCGCCAGATTTTTGCATCTGGTCATGAACACATAATCGGGTGCCAAACAAACACAGCCATGCTAATTTTCACATTCTGCTCCATTTTTTTGCACATGCCAATTTTCCCAACTTCTTGTTTGTGTACACCTAACAAAGACCCTCGCCTTGTAGTTGGTCTCGGTCAGACATGCATTCATTCACTGTGAACTCGAGGATAAGGGATAAAGTACCACCCTCTTATCCCCTCCTGGGTACTTATATTAGAGAAAACGTAGTGCGGTACAATGCTAATTGTGATATACACTCGTAATGCACCATAAAACTAAGTTTATTCAGGTATACACAAATACAGTTACATAGATTATCATATATAGCAGCATATGTGTAGATTACCTGGGATAACCCAAAAAAGTCAGAGTGACTTATTTTCTCTATTTTTTTTGTTCGGTGCATGCTCGTTTTCGTCAATTATCTCAGAATTTATTCATAAATTACAGTAATTACAACTGTGATAAATTCGGATTAGCAATGTTTTATCAGCAAGTAGTGCACAAACAGCTTCTCACAGTGCCAGTACCCGGCTAGGGCTTGCCATATATGATTTTTGGTAAATATTTTTTTTTCTCGTTTGTTTCTTGGGCTATCTTATTGAAACTTGGGCAATGCATGATGTAAAGATGTTTCTTAATGTACACCAAAAATGAAAGAAATCAGATGATAAATAATGAATTACTCCTCAGCCATATCTTAAAACTCTTAAAAAAACTTTACAACGAATGGTTCATAGGGGTCTAGAATGGACTCGTGCAATGTTAGTTTTCTTTGTTGTTCAAGGTTTTCTCAGTGTTATTCAAGGTTTTTACATTCAGTTTACTATTACACTGTAATAGTATAACTATTTTTGTGCTTAAAAATCTTAAAAAAACAACATTTACATAGTTTGTAGGGGTCTGGAATGGATTAATCGTATTTACATATAATCCAATGGGGAAATTTGGTTCGTGTCGTGACCAGAGTTTTGGAATGAATTATGGTCGAGATCAGAGGTTCCACTGTATTAGTATTATTAGCAGTATTAGTAGTATTAGTATTAGTTTTGAGACTCTCTGACCGTGGGTTCATTCCCGCCAGTGGTATGGTTTATTAGTATTATTAGCTGTAACAGCAGTACATATTATTAAGTTAAACACTAAAATAAGAGCAGCTGCAACTTAATTGATAATGCTTTAATACTCAACCCTTGATGCACAAGATTCCCTGGAGAAGATGGATGTGCAATCAGTGCAACATGGAGTTTTAGTCTCTCTTATTTTCTAAAACACTGTGTAATTATATAAAAGTTTTTTGTTTCTTAGTTTTAGTTTAGAATAGCTTTCAAGCAGTGTTTCTCAACCTAGCAGTGCCACCCCCTAGTGGCTATTTTTAAATTATCTGTATGTTTTAGGGGTCATACAGGACCTGGGGATTGAGAGGCAATCAGGTTTGATCAAAGGAAGAGGCAGGTAAGTCCAGTTATATGAGTCAAGAGCAAGTCACCAGCATCAATGAAGCTCCCGTGAGGGGAGTAACCTAAGAGAGCAATAGGGGTGCACTCGGTGAAAAAAAATCAGGTGTTGAAACTTTATTATGCATTCAAACAGGTACACATACTTTCAACACAAGCAAGCAAATAACATTAAATGAGCATGTTTTGTGAGTAGTAATGAACCATTGAACACATGGTTACCACTAACTCCTCTCACATGGTTGATGCTTTTTCTTTTGCTGCAAATATTAAATCAGTGATACGGATGCTATATACTGTATTTAAAAAGTGTACAATTATTTTTTTAATGAAATTAACATTTTTTTTATTTTCCAATTGTTTTACTGTATCATTACTAATTTCAGTAAACTTATAAAAAAAAAAAGTGGTCCTAGCAGAATTCACATTTAACACAAAATTTATTTGAGGGGGTCATAAGTGCTCCTTGCTCATTAAAGGAGGGAAAGCACTATGCAAAAATAAGGCTGGGAAACTGTTTTAAGATATCATCTTGTATACAGTGGACCCCCGGTTAACGATATTTTTTCATTCCAGAAGTATGTTCAGGTGCCAGTACTGACCGAATTTGTTCCCATAAGGAATATTGTGAAGTAGATTAGTCCATTTCAGACCCCCAAACATACACGTACAAACGCACTTACATAAATACACTTACATAATTGGTCGCATTGGGAGGTGATCATTATGCGGGGGTCCACTGTATAGTGTTTGAGAATTGTGGCCGACTATCTTCTGGCATCAGTTTAAAAAAGACCAAAGAGGTAAAACTGTCACTGACACAATAAATACATCAGTAACAACTAAAGTCCTGTACTGTATAACCAGTGGTGTTACTGGGAAATTCTTGTATGTGAAAGATTCTTAACATTTTACATGTGGTACCAAGATAAACACTAACACAACTGCAGATTATTATAATCATAAGGGAAACACTAAACTCATAAGGATCATGCAGTGAATAAGGAATGGGAAGACAATCAGGTTTCATAAAAGGAGAGAATATGTTTATTTCCTTAGATCAAAACCCCCTCACTGGCACTAAGTAAAAATAATTATATTCAAGTAAAATGCTAAACCCATAAGGTTATACAGCACCAGCATCAAAGCATCTTCCTTGATGGGACAGGACTACACAACACTGAAAATAAACATACCTCAAATTTTACATTGTCTTTCCATGAAAGTAGCAAGCTCAAAATAAAAAAAAAATTGGCAAGATGAACATAATGTCTTGCTTAAGTATGAGTTTGATCAAGTTAGTACAGGTGCTCCTTGACTTACAATATTTCAACTACGAGGGTGCAAAAGCAATTACTCTGGAGATGAAACTTAAGATTTATTTAATTGTTACTTCATACTTAAAATTGTTTCAATTTTGTTGTTTTAAATTGTGCTAAATTGTAATACTTCATTACTGTAAATTGTGCTTGATGATTGCTCAACTAATTAATCATTACTTCAAACTTAAAATTGTTTCAATTTCATTGTTTCAAATTGTGCTACATCGTAATACTGTAATTTTTTTGTTTATCAAAACTGTAATTCTTCTCTACCTAACCTATGAAAGCCATATAGCTTGAACTGATAGAATATTCAATTTTCTTGTATTCATTGTAACTCACCTAATGACCATAAGTACAATTACAGCACTGTTATTGCCTTATTAATTTTAAGTTAGTCTTAAGTTTGCCCGAAATGCTCTGCATATAAAGGGGCTTTTGACATGTTCACCCAATTGTTGCACTCCTTTGTACAAACATATATCATGCTAAAATAAAAATTAAGATAATTGCCCATCATGAAGGTGGAAAGTCTGTAACTTGTATTCATTTACAGCAGAGCCTCAATATTTGTACGTCCCTGTATTCATACAACCCGATATTCGCCCAATTTTTTTGAGAAAAATTTGACTCAGTATTTGGACATTGCCCTGATATTCGACCTAAATAAAACGGTCCATCTGGACAAAGTAAAACAAAAAGAAAGCATCACTCCTGCAGTCTTTCATCGGCTTTTGTTTGTTAAGCATCATTCGTATAAGCTCTGTGAAACTTTCTGGTATTTCATTGTTATTCTGTGATGTATTTTAAATACAGCCTCTCCTCACTTAGCAATGTATTCATTTACCAACCACTCAGACTTACAACCAGCTCTCCAACCAGTATGCAAACCTAAATAATGTATACAAGAGCCAATTTCCTCTATTCTGTTTATTACAGTATACAGTAAACTACTGTATAAAGATTTAAAAATATACCAGAAATGTTATAAATGGTGCAAAAGTGACATTAAAAAAATATCTAAAAATGGTTGACACAAACCCACTACCAGTATAGTATGCTCCTCGTTTAATGACCAATTCACTCACCAACCTACTCTTAGGAACGGAACCCTGTCGGTAAGTGAGGAGAGACTGTATTTTCACTGAAAATAAGTGATCATTGCCCCAAAAGAATAGTGATGCAAATAAGCCTAAAAGGAAAACAGCAAGAACAACAATTAACCCGTAAACGGTCCAGGCAGATCTATGTTCACATGTGTAGTGCTCCAAAAGTAGACCTACGTTTTTTTTTACATATTTTCAAATATAAAAAAAAAAAAAAAGTAGGTCAAAGTTTTTACACATTTTCAAATGTAAAAAAAAAAAAGATCTACTTTTTTTACATACTTTCAAATGTTAAAAAAACGTATATATACGTTTGGACTGTTTACGGGTTAAAGTTAACCCTTTCAGGGTCCATCCCGTAGATCTACGGCTTTACGTTCAGGGTCCAAACCGTAGATCTACGTCATGAGCTCAGCTCACTCTGATAAACTGTGAGTGGTACATTTGGGCCTAGATATGAGAGAATACATCTATGTGGTATGTGTGCACCACATAAAACAGATCCTGCAGCACACTGTGTATAATGAGAAAAAAAACTGAAATCATGATTTTTCGATTAAAACAGCGACTTTGCAGTGTTTTTTCGTATGTTTTTTATAGTTGTATTTGCGATTTCTTGGTCTCATTTGATAGAATGGAAGACATATTACAGAAATAGAGATAATTTTGATTGGTTTTAGCACTGGAAATGGCTTGAAACTGAGCTCAAAGTAGCAGAAACGTTAAATTTTTGCCGATATTCAAGAGTAAACAAACGACCTCACACGTCTAATACACGCCAGCTGGTGGGTCTAATATGCATTCACAAATATGGTGATGATATTTATACAATTATTACAGTATTGCATAACAGTAAATCTTCTATTTTTTGGTGTGAATAAAAATTCATTATGTGAATAAAAAATCAAAATGGAATTTATTTGTAAAGCCTCAAAACATAACTAATGAACAGAGGAAATGTTAGTTTAGTTCCAGGAATACCTACATTGTTTATTCTGGACCCTATTTTGAAATTGGAATATTTTGAACTTTGTGTTAAATTGGCCAAATTAACAATTTCCGATCACTTTAATTTGTAGTTGAAACAGTTGACTTGGCGATTTCTTGTGCTCAATCATTAGAATAGAAGTAATACTAGCGAAATAGCTAAGAATTTGGTTGACTGGAATAATGTAATTGGCCTAAAATGGGAGTGAAAGTCAGCAAAATCGCCGATTCCTAAATATCGCTGACACATCAAAATTCGCGAGAGCATAATTTCGTCAATTTTCCATCAAATTTCGTACTTTTTGTTTTATTACCTTCACAAAAAGATTCTTTACCATTTCATAAGAAAAAATTAACAAATTTTTTTTTTTAAATTCTTGGACACTGGGGCACCACTTCAGATTTGGGCCTTGGACCCTGAAGGGGTTAAAAAGTGAAAAAAGAACTCATAGAAAAGTGGGAAAGTGGAACGTGTGTCGGACCTGGTCACTCAATATGATATAGCGAAATGCACCATGTCGTCCATATCGAAAAATAAAGAGGTGAAAGGAGTGAAAATTCTTTCTGTGAAAAGGTCACAGATAACTGAAGAAATGGAAGAACTTTTGTTAGTGTGAATTAATGAAAAACAACTGACCGGTGACAGTGTTTCTGAAACAATTGATGACATGTGAGCACACATGCTATAGGTGGCAGTGTCACTATAAACATGTATGTTATAAATGACTATAATTCCTTGTAGGAACATAGTACAACAATGATTCTTATACCAGAATGTTGCCTAACCATTAAGCTATTTTTCTATATGATTAGCTCAATTCTATATGATTAGCTCTTTTTTTTTTTGTTCATTCACATGGCACAAGCCTTAGTAAGTTTATTTAGGTATACACAAATACAGGTGCACAGATTATCATACATAGCACCATATGTGTAGAGAACCTAGGATAACCCAAAAAGTCAGACAGAGTGAATTATTTCCATTGGGGTCGTTTACCTCCCCTTAGTAGCCCCTTAAGCACAGAAAAAATAATCAAAGTTTGAAAAATCCTTAACTATACAAAATAATGCACAGTTTAATAGAGAAAAAACCTTCAATAACAGAAAACATACCATAAACAACCAAGAAAACAAAATGAATTAAAAAACACATGAAATACAACACAAGAAGATCACAGCGAATGAACGCACATCTGACCGAGACCGAATACAACGTGAGGGTCTTTGTTAGGTGTGCACAAACAACAGGAAGCGGGGAAAATTGGTGCGTGAAAAAATGGCGCAGAATGTGAAAACTGGCGTAGCCGTGTTTGTTTGGCACCTGATTATGTGTTCGTGACCAGATGTAAAAATCAGACAAATTTTTTGGTAGTGAACCAATTTCTTCATGTTTGGAAATGTTCGTGACCAGACGTTCCACTGTATTCATATTCAACTTACAATGGGTTCTTCGAAACATAACCCCATTGTAAGTCGAGAAGCACCTGTACTTTAGCTCACACTTTGAAGTCATTAGGATAAAAACTTTCCTTGCTAAGTACAGTAACGTGTTTTACCTATTTTCTAATATATTCATTTGCCTGGTATGCCTGTAATAATGAATACAGATCTTTAATGGCTACATTAATACATAGATGAATACAAATAGGAAGCACATCTGTTTCAAGTTCAGCAGCTGGAGGATCAAGCCTCCATTACATCTTGCACTGAATGGCCCACATGAGTTTACCACTTAACATGAATTATAGTACAGTATTTCAATTACTTTGTACAGTATTTTTTAATTTTAAATTAAAAATCTTTACAAAAACAAATTAACAATATAGTAAAAGCCAAGTCAAACACTGTAAAACTTTTATACCTGTCCAGTACCATTATTATTACTGTATTATTTTTATTATGGTATTTCAAACAAGTGCCAAACTCACATGGGACATACAATGAAGACGTTGTATAAGTTGTAAGGGCAGAGGTTAGTGGAGTTGACAGTCAGTAAAGGTATAAAATTAACATCACAGTTGGTGTAATAGGGTTGTTAGAAAATATAAAAACTCAGAGCAGTCTGCATCAATGGGTAGAGTAATCAATAAGGAGGGAAGTTAATGCAAGTGTGTCATGGCATATAAGATGTAAAGTGAATTCTGCAAGATCTATGATAAATTGAACAATCTAATCTATTAATATATGGTGAACTGTTAGTCACCTGGTAATCTTCACAGAGAGGTGCTAGGCATCTTTATAAATGGTATCCGTGTGTAAGTCATGTGTAGCAAGTTCATGGATGTGTGAAAAGCAGGGGTCCAATGAGTACAAGGGATAACTCAATAAGTGTAAAGGGCCCAAGACTTTTCAACATCCTTCTAATATAAAGGGAATTACTGACATAGCTCTAACTATTTTCAAGAGAGACTTTTAAGTTCCTCAAGTAAGTTCCTGATCAGCTGGGCTGTGGTGCACATGATCTCTGTGCAGCTAACACCAATAGCCTGGTTGATCAGGCCATCATCAGGGAGGCCTGGTCTGGGACTGGGCAGCAGAGGGAGTTGACTTCTAAAATCATTTTCAGTTAATCCTCAACAAAGCTTAAATAGGCTACTGAACTGGCTTTGTGCCTACTTCAATGGGAATTCATGACCCACAAATTGGAGAAACTATCATGACCCATGAAATTAAAAGAACATAATTGTAAACAAATCATCGAATGGGGGGGTTTGAACCCATGGCAAGTGAGTACTAAAACTCATAGGCCAATGTGTTAATCACTGGGCCAGCTCTATTAAGATTCATCCAAATAGGTATATTTCTATATACAATAGGGAAGTTAGGCCCCACTGTGACCACAAATGCAGGTTTTTGTAGATGAGTCCCACACCAGCTGGCTGAGTGGTTAACACCTGTGAGCTTTAGGGCTCATTTGGTCTGGGGTTCAAGCCAGACCCATTCTGTGATTTGGAGAAACTAAATGACACTTCTTTCTGTTGTAGATTACTTACAAAGCCTGGCTTGATAATGGTCTAGGACAGACCAAAATATTATCTAGTTTCCTCTCAAATTTGTCAATTAGTTGTGAACTAGTCCAGTCTCAGTATTGGGAATTATTCTTCTGAATGTGGTAAAAATATACACTATACACCTATGTAATATCTCAACTTCAAAGAATTCACTTAAATATGCATGGCAGTACAGTATGTGAAGTTTAAAAAAATACAAAACTAAAAATAATAAAAGCTATAAAAGTTGAATAATGCAATTTTTTACTGAGAAGTATAAAATAAATTTCATTATCCTCTTGTACAAAACAACATCTAATATATTTACTGTCACTCCAAGTGGCATATCATGCATTTCTGATACATATCTTCTGTCTAGCTGCCTTTTCTGGAAAGGCAGCTAGAAAGAATGTGATAGTGAATATACTTTCTAGTTACGTCAACCAGCTTTGGTGGGAAATTGCTGTGTAAAGACAACGAAATGCACTGAAAAGATGTAAGACAAATTGAGCAAAGAAAGCACTAACCCCTTAAGGTCATGGTGCACTACACATTGGGAGGGAAGGATGGATGGGAGGTGAAGAGGTGGTATTGAGGGAAGATCAATGGCTGGAAAGATGGTACTGTACTTATATCTGGTAAAGGAAACCAGTGTCAATTTAAAGAGAAACAATTGTATCCACAGCAAAGATAGGGGCCACCAAACAGGAAAGTGGAAAATAATAAACTTGTCAGGATATTGGCAGTGTCTAAATTGTCATTGGTATCTTCGCTGATAAATGGAGTAATCACTAAGAATATGTTAGACTGCTAGGTGACCCGACAATCCTCACAGAACTGTACAAAGTATGTACCTCTCCATGAGGTAGCCACATGTGAGTCTAGTGTGACAAATACATATTTGTATAAGTACCATTTTCCAAAACTGGCAAAAATATAGGAGGATGGGCAGAAGCCCAATTGTGGTTTGGTGACGAAAGTTTCTTGATCACTGATAGGATTAATGATTTTTGCCAGTAATCTTGCAAGGACTGAGTGGATACTGGAAAGTAATCAGAAAATGGTAAATACCTGTAGAAAATGAAAAGGTCCTGAACTGCAGAACTCACAAAAGTAACTGCAAGTTCATGCCTTGAATCCGTACATGTCTGAGAACCCAACAGAAGATAATTTTCTTGTGTCTGTTAAAGATGCGGCACAGCCAACACTGAATGCAATGATGGGATGCAAGGAATTGAAGGTCTGAATTGTTTGCAATATATGCAACCGTAGGAAAAGCAAGAGAGACAAAAAGGTGAGGAAAAGGTTAAAAAATGTATATTAGAATGTTGTTGATATTAGAACTGCAGTAACAAAATTCAGCAGCAAAACAAAACAGTAGAGCACAATGCTGTAAACAGAAGTACAGCTGGGCCCAAACCTACAACATTCCAACTTTCAGTGATCAACTTTACTAGTATGTAAACTGAAATAACAGAAATGCATCTCATTCATAAGTTGGGGTCCTACTGTATGCCCATCACGGTGCTCTTCTCAGTGACCCAACTCTTTTGGTGTATCATAAAAAATATTAAACAGAAGCACATACTGTAATGACTATAGATGGTGGTATTATAAAATAAAATAAATACTGTATATGTTTTTAACTGTCCTGTGTAAAACCAGATGGGTTTATGTCAATACTCAATGATTCAGTAAAAATAATAAACTTCATAAAAGCTCATTCTCTAATGGAAGTCACATTGTTTGGCTTTACTGGCTTACCCTAAGTTAAATCTATATCATGTGCTATAAATGAATGCCCACAACATTTATGTGCCCATGGAACCATTGTACAAAGTAAAATTATTGCTTTTAAAACCATTTGTGGATTTTTTAAATCTCCACTACAGTGGAACCCTGGTTTTAATTTGCCCTGATTTTCGTCAAATTCAGTTTTCGACAACTTTTTTCATCAAAATTTTGTCCCAGTTTTCATTCATCACCTCGGTTTTTGTCGAGTTGACAGTGGTCCACCATACCAAATGTGTCCACCCGCACCCACACAAAGCATCCCATGCATTCTGAGTCAGTCTGGATTTGTTTCTCATCAGTAGAGGGTGGTAGTGATGGTGGTAGAGGGTGGTAGTGGTTGTGATGATGGTAGAGGGTGGTAGTGATTGTGGCAGAGGGTGGTAGTGATGGTGGTAGAGGGTGGTAGTGATGGTGGTAGAGGGTGGTAGTGATGGTGGTAGAGGGTGGTAGTAATGGTGGTAGAGGGTGGTAGTGATGGTGGTCGAAGGTGGTAGTGATGGTGGTAGTGATGGTGGTAGTGATGATGGTAGTGATGATGGTAGTGATGATGGTAGTGATGATGGTAGTGATGGTGGTAGAGGGTGGTAGTGATTGTGGTAGTGATGGTGGTAGAGGATGGTAGTGGTTGTGATGGTGGTAAAGAGTGGTAGTGATTGTGGCAGAGGGTGATAGTGATGGTGGTAGAGGGGGGGTAGTGATGGTGGTTGAGGGTGGTAGTGATGGTGGTTGAGGGTGGTAGTAATGGTTGTGATGGTGGTAGTGATTGTGGTAGAAGGTGGTAGTGATGGTGTTAGAGGGTGGTAGTGATGGTGGTAGAGGGTGGCAGTGATGGTGGTAGAGATAACCTCTCCTCTCTCTCCCCTTCTCGCCGTCTTCCATACGCCAACAAGAGTCTTCAATAAAGGTAAAAGTGATGTTAAATTTTCATTTATTCATTTCATTAGTCTTTTATATTTATTTCTCATTGTTTTCTGTATGCAGAACTATAGTTATTCTCTATAAATGTATTTTTTGTTAATACTTTTGAGTGTCTGGAATGGATTAAGTGGATTTACATTATTTCTTATGGGAAATATTGCTTCAGTTTTCGTCAGACTTTCTGGAACGAATTAATGACGAAAACCAAGGTTCCACTGTATCAGGCTATGATGAACATGAACAATATATTTTATATTATATTATTATATGAATATAATCTACAGTACAAAAATGTATGAGCAGAATTCTACATGTAAAATAATGTATAAAAGTTACATCAATAAGTCTTATAAATCTCTGTACGATACATAAATATATTCACCACAAAGGAAAATACACACGTGGGCCTAGTACGTTTTCACTAAAACTATAAGTGTTCAAACTTAATAAGTAACAATTTGAGGAAATTTTGTACTTTTAAACTTAAGATGACACAAAAAATATGACTGCCTAAATTACCATAACCAAACTTATTTTTTATAGGTCTTACTAATGTACCAGTGAGAAATATTTATGTGTCATGCTCAGCCTTCCTGTGTTTCTTAAGAGCTGAACTCTTCCAAAACTGTGAACCACAATCTGGGCATTCTCGAGGCTTTCTGTCCATATGGCATTTTTTGTGAGCCCCTAAGTATGACCTGACTCTGAATGTTGCACTGCACTTTTCACATTTGAAAGGCTTCTCACCTGTATGTTTTCTCTCATGTTCAATAAGTGCTTGTTTTTGAGAAAAGGTTGCATCACAATATTCGCACTTCAAAAGACTTTTACCAACATGAATTCTTTGATGGCTATCAAACTGAAATTTATAGGTGAAACTTTTTTCACAATACTGGCACTGAAATGGCTTTTCACCTATGTGAATACGTTGATGAATAATGAACTGGCTGTTACTCTGAAACTTTTTATCACAAAACTGACACTGAACATTCTTTAAGCAAAAGTGACGTTTTATATGACTTCTGAGCAACGATTTATTTGTAAATGTTGCCTCACACACTGTGCAGGGGTATGATTTTCCAGATACAATTATATGCGACAATTTATGAACCATCAAAGCACTCTTATCCATAAACTGCTTTTGGCAAACCTCACATTTACTTGGTGAATCATTCACTTGATCTTTCAAACCTCTCTCTTCTGATGTCAATCTTCTATTTTCCACATACTCGTAAATGTTTTTGCCATTCTCACACTTATCACCTTCCTGATTATTCTTATTATTTGCATGTTTAACACGGGTGCTTCTTCTTTTCAAAGAATTAGAAAATGAGGATTCAGGAATGAAAATTTTCACGAATGGTCCATCTTTGCAAGTACGTCTGTAAACGTCAACATCACGATAACGAAACAGTTTAGATATGAAGGGAATATGATATAAAATTGGGAACACTGGGTCACTGTCTGATTGGATAGCACTTGCTTGAACCTTGTCCATTTTGTGTCGTCCATTTCTATAACTTGCTTGGTTGCCAGTCTCCAAGTCACATTCGGGCTCCAAAATCATGTCACATTCAACACTGAGAAATTCCACAGCATTAGGCATTTCCTCTTTACATGTGTGAGGATCATTGCTAGGTATATTTCCCTCCTCTTCCTCAACTGCCTCTTCCACTACTTCCTCTTTGTTCTCCTCTTCTTCCTCTTTGTCCTCCTCTTCTTCCTCCACCTCCTCTTCTTCCACCTCCTCCATCACCCCCTCCTCCATATCTGCTTCTTCCATAATCTCTTCATCATTGACCATATCACTAGACTCCTCCTCAATAACTTCAATTTCAGTAGCAATATCCTGAGAATATTGTTCTACTCTCTGAAGCTGCACATCTGCCGCATTATTCTCAACAAAGTCATGTCTTCCATTGTGAGGTTTGTATCTCTGAATATAATAATCCATTTTCATAAACAAGTTGCTTGTTTCTTCACTAATTAATATCTTGAGTAGTGTAACCAACACCAACCTACACAAATAAAATATGGAACAATTAACCTTACCATCATTGTTAACATGCAAAACTATTAAGAAATTTATAGGTAAATCAAAAAAATATTTAGAAATAAAAATACAATTCAGTATAATCTATTTTGGTCGTGCATTAAATTAGATCAAACTCATTTTTTGCTAGCAGCCAGATGAAAAAAAAGATAAATAGAGAGAGAGACAGACAGACAGAGAGAGAAAAAAAAAGACTCAGAAAAAGAGACAGAGACAGACAGAGAGATAAAGAGACTGAGGGAAAAAGAGACAAACAGAGGGACAGAAAAAGAGAGAGTGCGTGCATGTGCATGTGTGTGTGTGTGTGTGTTGTATGAGGGCAATATGTAGTGCAAATATTATGCAGAGAATTCGTAGCTTGGAGATTAGGAGGTGGAAGGTTACTAAAAGTATTATCCAGAGGGCTGAGGAGGGGTTGTTGAGGTGGTTTGGACCTTTGAAGAAGAAGAAGCAAAATAGGAAGACTTGAAGGGTGTATAAATCTGCAGTGGAGGGAAGAAGGGGTAGGGGTCATCCTAGGAAAGGATGGAGGGAGGGGGTAAAAGAGATTTTGTGTGCAAGGGGCTTGGACATACAGCAGGCATGTGTGAGCATGTTAAATAGGAGTAAGTGGAGACGAATGGTTTTTGGGGGCTTGACGAGATGTTTGAGTTTATTCAAGGTAATATTTTGTGAAGGGATTCAGGGAAACCGGTTAGCCGGACTTGAGTCCTGGAGGTGGGAAGTATAATGCCTGCACTTTAAAGGAGCGATATGGGATATCTGCTGTTCAGAGTGATGTTTAAACTGTCGTATCTGTGATGTAAGTGTGATGTGACCATTGTCATTTATTATACTTATAGATGGAATTGTAAAAGAAGTAACTGCTAGGGTGTTGGGGAGAGGTGTAACATTAAAAGAGACAGTATCTCATACACAGTGAGAGTTGCCACAGCTGCTCTTTCCTGATGACACAATTCCTTTGGGAGTTTTTGTTGATGTGTTGCAAAGATTGGACAACAAATTTGAGAGGACATGTAAAAGTAAATAATTATGGACATGGAAAAAAGCAAAGTGATGAGGGTAACAAAAAGTCTAAGCAATGATAGATTGAATATCAAACTGGAGGAGGGAAGTGGACATATTTAAATATTTGGGAGCACACATGTCAGCAGATGGGTCTACAAAGGACTAAGTGAATCACAGAGTGGATGAGGAAGGGGGGAAAGGAATGTGGTTTGTTCAGGCATCTGTGGAAAGGAGGAAGTCCTGTCTTGGTTAGATAGGATGGGAATTTAGAAAGGATGTACAGGTGTTCCTTGACTTATGATTGTTTGACTTATGGTATTTCGACTTTACAATGGTGCAAAAACAATTACTGTATTTTGAAGTTGAAACTTAAGATACAGGAGGGCCCTACTTTTACAGCAGGTTAGGTTCCAGGTTATTGCTATGGAAAATATCGCTTGAATTTCCCAGAAGCATTACAGCCTTTTCCAGGTTGGGGGTAGGGGAAAAGATGATGCCTAGTAACAATAAACATAGCCAAGTAACAATAACGAGGAGCTGCTCAAAATATCGACTTGGATGACAGCCAATAAACTTACGCTTAACACTGACAAAACCTACTATATTATGTTTGGTAGCAGAGCAGGAGTTGAGCAAATTAGCATTAAGATCGACAACACTCTAATTGCCAGACATAATGAGGGCAAATTCCTAGGCCTATACCTCGACAACAACCTGAATTTCAGCACCCATATAAAACATATAACCAAAAAAGTATCCAAAACAGTTGGGATCCTCTCCAAGATACGATATTACGTGCTGCAAAATGCTCTTCTCACACTATACCACTCACTTATTTATCCATACCTCACCTATGCTATTTGTGCTTGGGGATCAACTGCAGCAACTCACCTAAAGCCAATAACCCAACAAAAAGCTGCAGTAAGAATAATCACTAAATCCCATCCCTGGCAACACACCCCCCACTCTTCATAGATCTAAACTTACTCCCTGTTCCATACATCCACACTTACTACCGTGCAATCTGCATCTACAGGACCTTAAATTCCAATATTAACCTTGGCCTAAAATGCTTTCTTGATAGTTGTGGCAGAACCCACAGGCAGAACATCAGACACAAACATCTCTATGACATTCCCCATGTCCGACTAAACCTTTACAAAAATTCAATGTATGTCAAAGGCCCTAAAATCTGGAACACCCTCCCTGAATACTCTAGAACTGCAGACACATTCATTACCTTCAAAACTACCATTAGAAAACATCGTATCTCCCTGATACACCCCATCAACTAATTACATGAATACCATCTGGTGTGTGGAAAATACTGTATATATTTTCCAGAAATACAGTAGTTATATGTAAATAGATGGCCATACTGTATTTAATAAAAATTTATGTCATAAAAAAATGGGAAGCCTGCGCCTGTGCAGACGAGACTCGCCATTGTTGTTTGAATCAACACAAATGTTAGTGAATAATGTGATGAATTTTTCATGCTCTAGAGGTTAAAATTGGGCTGACACCTCTCAAATAGGAGGCGAAATTGTTGGCTGTGCATTCCTGCATAACTTGAGATATCAGGCGACTGGACAAGACAGCTCCAGGAACCTCAGATAACTTTGTTTATGTTTGTAACTCTGGCTAGTGTTATTTTCATGGATAGACAGTGAGGTTTTCTGAGTATGATACACCTTGATCTCCAGTCAAATTGGTGAGTGATTTTAAGATATTCTCCTTCTGTTATGTATTTTTTTTTTTTTTTATTATTATCACACCGGCCGATTCCCACCAAGGCAGGGTGGCCCGAAAAAGAAAAACTTTCACCATCATTCACTCCATCACTGTCTTGCCAGAAGGGTGCTTTACACTACAGTTTTTAAACTGCAACATTAACACCCCTCCTTCAGAGTGCAGGCACTGTACTTCCCATCTCCAGGACTCAAGTCCGGCCTGCCGGTTTCCCTGAATCCCTTCATAAATGTTACTTTGCTCACACTCCAACAGCACGTCAAGTATTAAAAACCATTTGTCTCCATTCACTCCTATCAAACACGCTCACGCATGCCTGCTGGAAGTCCAAGCCCCTCGCACACAAAACCTCCTTTACCCCCTCCCTCCAACCCTTCCTAGGCCGACCCCTACCCCGCCTTCCTTCCACTACAGACTGATACACTCTTGAAGTCATCTGTTTCGCTCCATTCTCTCTACATGTCCGAACCACCTCAACAACCCTTCCTCAGCCCTCTGGACAACAGTTTTGGTAATCCCGCACCTCCTCCTAACTTCCAAACTACGAATTCTCTGCATTATATTCACACCACACATTGCCCTCAGACATGACATCTCCACTGCCTCCAGCCTTCTCCTCGCTGCAACATTCATCACCCACGCTTCACACCCATATAAGAGCGTTGGTAAAACTATTATTCTCATACATTCCCCTCTTTGCCTCCAAGGACAAAGTTCTTTGTCTCCACAGACTCCTAAGTGCACCACTCACTCTTTTTCCCTCATCAATTCTATGATTCACCTCATCTTTCATAGACCCATCCGCTGACACGTCACCTCCCAAATATCTGAATACGTTCACCTCCTCCATATCTCTCTCCCTCCAATTCTGATATTCAATCTTTCATCACCTAATCTTTTTGTTATCCTCATAACCTTACTCTTTCCTGTATTCACCTTTAATTTTCTTCTTTTGCACACCCTACCAAATTCATCCACCAATCTCTGCAACTTCTCTTCAGAATCTCCCAAGAGCACAGTGTCATCAGCAAAGAGCAGCTGTGACAACTCCCACTTTGTGTGTGATTCTTTATCTTTTAACTCCACGCCTCTTGCCAAGACCCTCGCATTTACTTCTCTTACAACCCCATCTATAAATATATTAAACAACCACGGTGACATCACACATCCTTGTCTAAGGCCTACTTTTACTGGGAAAAAATTTCCCTCTTTCCTACATACTCTAACTTGAGCCTCACTATCCTCGTAAAAACTCTTCACTGCTTTCAGTAACCTACCTCCTACACCATACACTTGAAAACATCTGCCACATTGCCCCCTATCCACCCTGTCATACGCCTTTTCCAAATCCATAAATGCCACAAAGACTCTTTAGCCTTATCTAAATACTGTTCACTTATATGTTTCACTGTAAACACCTGGTCCACAACACCCCCTACCTTTCCTAAAGCCTCCTTGTTCATCTGCTATCCTATTCTCCGTTTTAAATCTTAATTCTTTCAATTATAACTTTACCATACACTTTACCAGGTACACTCAACAGACTTATCCCCTATAATTTTTGCACTCTCTTTTATCCCCTTTGCCTTTATACAAAGGAACTATGCATGCTCTCTGCCAATCCCTAGGTACCTTACCCTCTTCCATACATTTATTAAATAATTGCACCAACCACTCCAAAACTATATCCCCACCTGCTTTTAACATTTCTATCTTTATCCCATCAATCCCGGCTGCCTTACCCCCTTTCATTTTACCTACTGCCTCACGAACTTCCCCCACACTCACAACTGGCCTCTTCCTCACTCCTACAAGATGTTATTCCTCCTTGCCCTATACACGAAATCACAGTTTCCCCTATCTTCATCAACATTTAAAATTCCTCAAAATATTCCTTCCATCTTCCCAATACCTTAACTCTCCATTTAATAACTCTCCTCTCCTATTTTTAACTGACAAATCCATTTGTTCTCTAGGCTTTCTTAACTTGTTAATCTCACTCCAAAACTTTTTCTTATTTTCAACAAAATTTGTTGATAACATCTCACCCACTCTCTCATTTGCTCTCTTTTTACATTGCTTCACCACTCTCTTAACTTCTCTCTTTTTCTCCATATACTCTTCCCTCCTTGCATCACTTCTACTTTGTAAAAACTTCTCATATGCTAACTTTTCTCCCTTACTACTCCTCTTTACATCATCATT